CCCAGCTGGTCCCGCCTCTTCAGCCACACCGCGCCGCTACCACACAACTGCTTTGTGGTTATAAGACCATGCAAGGTAGCTGTACATTTGCTACAGCCCCCTCTCAATGTATCATGCTTAAATGCATGGGAGTTTCTGTTAGCACAGAGGGAAAATTGAGTCCATATGCTGAAGGCTACCAGCTAGGAAACAGACAGCACTGCCAAGTCTAGAAAGTCTTCAGCGGGTCACTCACAACTGCTGGGTTCTTCTGAAGAGGCTTTTTAATCTTACTTGCATCAATGGCCAGGAAAGCTGCCAACACGTGGCTGATAAGGACACAGCCCTTTTCCAAGACACAAACACAGTTGCAAGTAACATACCAATGTTTGCTTGCAGCATGCAAACAACAAATCCAGAGTTCCAAAAGGCAGGTCAAGAGAGCAATCCAAGGCCCAGGGTTATCATGAGCAGGTAATCCAGAGCTTTTCCAAAGGTCACAAGATCCAAACCAGTCCAGAGTCAAGCTGAGAGCCAAGAGCTTTCACCGGGGAATCCAAGATAAGCCTTGACAAAGAGCTTGGCTTTTCTCAGCTGCTTATCTAGTCTCAACTCCTCTCACACAGGTGTTTATCTTTAGCTGTGCATTTCTCAGCTAACCTTCAAGAACGCCACAGCCCCGCCCTATCTGTTCTCCTCTGAGCAAAGGTAGGGATCTCAATCTCTTGTTCCTCTGCTTCTTCCAGGCCTGAAACCTCTGTTGGGGAAAGGCTTTCTGCTGGAGGGAGGCTAGGCTGCTGAGGTAGGGGCTGTGCCTCAATGGGTCCCACACAGCTAGGTCCAGCTTCAGCTAGGTCTATGGGAGCTGGTAGCACCAAGCTAGGACCTGGCTCCACATCCTTCCCCTCAGAGTCCTCCAAGTCCTCAACCTGTCTGTCCCTGACATCACTCCCCCTCCCATCATCCTCCCCCACCTCGGGTGGAGGATGAGGCCGGTCAGGGAAGCAACGATGGAATGCCCGGACCAGGCAAGGAGCATGCACATCAGAGGCATCTTCCCAAGAGGGGTCCTCTGGCCTGAAGCTGTCCCAGTGGACCAGATACTGCAGCCGGCCCCTGTATTGACGGGAGTCCAGGATCTGGGCCACCTCAAACTCCTGTTCCCCATCGACCAGGACAGGATCAGTGGGAGGCATGGAACCCGCATCGGGCTGACCCCTGAGGCTGGAAGCAGCAATGATTGGTGGAAGACGAGGTGGATCCACCACGTCTGTGGCAGTTGCAGCCGGAACACCACAGGATTCACCTGAGCCACGATCTTATACAGCCCAACAAACCTTGCATCCAGTTTCCGACATGGCCGCTGAAGTGGGAGATGGCGTGTGGACAGCCAGAAGAGGGGGTCAGGTACAGCTTCCAGGGCCCTGACGGCATCAGCAGAGGCAGAGATGAGCTTACAATGTGGTCCTTGGCCCAGAGGCACACTGGGCAAGTGTCCACGTACTGGGCCACCTCCGCCCGGACTCAAGGCCACCAAAACTCCTGGGTGAGGAGGTGCAAGGTCTTGCAAAATCCAAAGTGCCCTGCCAGCTTGGCGTCATGGCACAACTGCAAGATTGCCTCCCGACAGGGACCCACTGGCATATATAGCTGCCCCAATGGTACAGCAGGCCATCCTGAAGTGTAAAGGGAGAGGTGTCCCCCTCCGCTGAATGCCGTGCCACAAATGGGTCCTGGCCCTGGAGGTCTTGGACCTGGTCCAGCAGTGTGGCATCCCATGCAGTGGCAATAAAATTCTCTAGGTGCAGCAAGCTGGACTTAGACTCCTCCTCCGGGTCCGTGGCATATTCTGGCTTATGGGAGAGAGTGATGGCCTGCTGATTCCGGGCCCAAGGAACATACTGAAGTCATAAGTTGAAGTGTCCAAAAAACAGGGCCCACCACTTCTGCCTCTGAGACAACTTCCGAGCCGTCTGGAGATGTTCCAAGTTCCTATGGTTGGTGTGGACTAGGACCAGATGAGCTTCCCCCTCCAGCAGATATCGCCACATGTCAAAGACTGCCTTAATTGCCAGCAGCTCCTTCTCCCAGATCGTGTAGTTGCGTTCAGGAGAAGAGAGCTGCCAAGAATAAAAGGCACAAGGCAGCAGGTGTCCTTCAGCCCCCGTGGGCTGAAGCAGCACAGTTCCAATTGCCACATCCAAGGTGTCCGCCTCCACTACAAATGGAGTCTGCGGGTCAGGGTGCTGCAGGATCTAGGCTGAAGTAAATCTTTCCTTGAGGGCATCAAACAACCTCTGGGCCTCCTCCATCCACTGGAAGCGGGCTGTCCCTTGCAGCAGTTGAGACAGAGGGCTCGCCAGGGCTGCGTAGTCTGCTATAAACTTTCTGTAGAAATTGGCAAACCCCAGGAACCTCTGGACATCCTTCTGACGGTGAGGGGGCTGCCAGGACAACACTGCCTCCACCTTGGAGTTGTCCATGGCCACACCCTGGGCAGAGATCCGGTATCCCAAAAAGTCCACCTCCCGGAGGTTAAAGGCACACTTCTCCAGCTTGGCATAGAGGCAGTGCTCCTGAAGTCACTGAAGGATGGCGCAGACATGGGCATCATGGGCAGCCTAGCTGGGGGAGTAAATAAAAAAATAGTCCAAGTAGATCACCATGAACCGGTCCAAATAGTCCCAGAAGATGTCATTGACAAAGTGTTGGAAGACGGCCGGGGCATTACACAGGCCAAAGGGCATGACCATGTAC